ACTGGCAATCCAGTTGTCCCCATTGGTCTTCTGTGTAAAATTCATGAAGATCTATATGAATTTTTGTCTCTGACCCATATTTGTGCACCATTTTTGCTGGAAACCTCCAGATCCATGGTCTTTATGGTTTAGTCAATGGAGTAAGATGTGCCCTGTGATATGATGGTTGGGAGTGGGAGACCAGTGGAAAAAATGTGCAATTTCAAGAGCATCTGGTTTACTGGATCTGATGTGTATGAGAGCACCCTTCTTTTCATCTTCTGATGAAGGGGGCACTGAGTATGCTGAGGCTACAGTAACTTTGCAGCATTGAAGGAAGTCCTCAAGAGTACCATGTTGATCAAGAGCACCATGCTGGTGACCTGCAAAACGTATTATATATTTTTAAAAGACATAATGATGCCTGTCCTGCTTTCTAACTTGCATGGAGTGTGGTGAGATGGCTATTGTGGAGAAGGTATATTGTGAAGAAAGTATATGACATGACTCTCTGCATCTCTTGGTCCAGTGGAGGCTTACGGTATTGACTTGTGTATGCTCGCCCTCCTGCTGAAGCAAGAACATTTGAAAGTCTTATCATGCAAAAAAAAAAGTAGCGCCACCAGAACATCTACTATTCCTCTCTCACATGTATCATTTCACAAGCAACGTTTGATTTGGAAAGTTGAAAATTTTAAATTCAAAATCATGTTGCATTTACTCAATGACAAGCCGATGCTGACATTTCCTTCTTAACTTGGTCAGCGTCAAAGAAAACGGTATACCTTGATCTCCAAATTGCAGGCCTAGGCCAGAGCCTTCCTTCCTAAAATGCATGCACAAATCATTTATAGATATTAATGTACATTGCATTCTGGTAGGAAAGTGAATTCTACATGAAGAGAGAAAAAGCATTCTTCGTTTTTATTTCCAACAAACATAAAACTATATTTACTTGCATCAGGAGCACTTTGTTTTGTTAACCTTTCTCAATCTGGCAAGCAGCTGCTCTCTTTCAAAAGTGCATGGCTTGGCCACTGCTGATTTACCTTGCATAGTAGCTGTAAACTAAGCAGGGGATCACAGTCATTACCAAACGAGTTTTTATAGGAGCTTCCAAATGTTTAATATTCCCTTTTTTCATGAATGGATGTAATTTAGACATTACATGACCCTATTTCAATATTGCTGCAAATCTCCCAAGTTAGTATGCTGGGAATAATTAAGGCTTGTTGATGTTTTTTCTAAGCACTGAAGGCGCCACTTAACTTTGGAATTGGCCCAAGTTCTCAGTAAAGGAACACTTCAAAAGTTAGTCAGAGTTTAGTCCTCTGAATCAGCAAATCCAAGAATATGCCTTATAAAGTTATGCTGGAGGGGGGAGAAAACATATTAAAAATAAAACATTCAGAAAGGTTTTAATGCTTTTCTACTTCTACTTTTAACGCTTATGTGGAATTAAATCACTGGATGTATTCATGGTCTCGTTTTGTTTAACATTTTGTTAGACTCCAGATGGCATAATTTAGTGTTCGGTATTGGTGTTTATTTTCAAAACTGAAGTCATTTGTTGAAACATGAATCATGCCAGAGATCAGTTGTTTAATAATTGCCTCATCGAGCGGATGTTTACAAAGAAAAGGTGAATCTGAGGGGGAGTGTTTCACCCTAATTGGAATACAGTCCATATGCCAATATATAAAGTAGATTCTAATTGTTTTTAAGTGTCAATCTTTCACTGTGTGCATATATGAAATATACACCAAATTTTATTTTTTAAACATCAGCTATAAATATAATCTTTCCAATAAGGTAAGTTTAAATGAGATGTTAAAATCCATCCAATAACTTTAATAATGTTAAAAGTGCATTGCCCAGCTTGCCAAAGAGTAATGCCTTAACTCTACTCATACCATTATATTTACACCAGATTTATTGTAGTTATTTTCTTTTTCAGGGCCAAATCTTTTCGTGGGAAAAAGGTCCATGGGGAATATGACATTAAAGTTGAACAGGTATCAATTTAAGAATTTCATTTCATTTTTACATACACTATTTTTTCCATATTTCTGTTTGTTATTATTTATTTATTTATATATCTCTTTATCTATTTACATGATTTGTATACCATCCTTAGCATGATCACAGGGTGATTAACAAAATCAAAGAAGAATTTTTAAAAATCCATAAAATCGCACAATCCTTAAAATATACAACTCCATTCATAAAAGTTCATTGGATAGCAATTGACTAATAGCAAGAGCAGCAACTAATCCATTCATATGATCAGGTCTCTCCTTCAAACACCCGCTGAAAAAGGCGCTTCTAACGAGCTGGCTAAACTGCAAAGTGTTGAGGCTGGACATCTCAGTAGGGAATTCCACATGTGAAGAGCCTCCACTAAAAATGCCCTTTTCTGGGCCACCACACCATGTACATCATTCTGGGATGGGACCACCAAGAAGGCCTCATCTACTAAACTTAGAGCATGAGCAGGCTAACATGGAAGAAGTTGGAAGTTGGGCTTGCGGAGGTTTGGGTGCCAGACCGTTAAGGGCTTTAAATGTCAAAGCAAGCACATTGAGTTGGGCCCAGAAAACAAGTGGCAATCATTTTCACTGTTTTAATATGGGAGTAATATGCTCACAGCCTGCTGCTCCCACCACCATACTTGCTGCAGCTTTTTGCACTAGCTGCAGTTGCTGCCTTCAGGGACAGCTGCACATAAAGTGCACAACAGTAGTCCAGTTTGGAGGTTGCCAGACCATAAATAACTATGGCCAGGTTATACCTATCTAGATGGGCCCGTAGTATGCTCACCGAGCCAGGGATAGATGCTCCTAGGCACCAAGGTCTCAAGTGACAATGATGGTTCCCAAATTATGCACCTGCTCCTCCAAGGGGAGAGCAGGAAATTCTACTAACTCCCAGACACAGCTCCGGCCCACCCATGGCACTTACGTCTTGTCTGGATTCAGCTTCAGTTTTAACACCTCGTCAGCCCATTTGCTACTTCCACTCTGCCTCTCTTGGTACCAATAGAACAGAGAGACAGAGCTTACTGCAAAACGCCTGATGATTGCTCCCAGTGGTTTCCTAAATAACAACTTGTGTCATGTGTTGTTAAAATACAGTACTCGGTTTGTTGAAGAAAGAACACATGAATATCACTTGGAAATCTGTCAGGACGATAGTGAAATTACACATATACTTTTATATAAAACCAGTATAAATGCAGGCTACAGAAACTCTGCACAGCTGGTAGATCCATGACTTTCTTCTGAAGTTGTACAGTGACTAGTATCAGCCCGAAAGTTAGTTCTTATATCAACGTATTATAAAAGGTGTTCAACAGGAGCGAACACTGATCTCCTATTAATCCAGAATTGTTTGTATGGAGTTTTCCCCCCAAGTGCACGATAACCATTTCACCTTATTTTTAAACCACACATTTGTACTTGATATGTGGTAAAAATTCTTCTTATTGTTTGGCAGAATAACAGGATACCCTGGAGACAGAATGATTTGATCAACTGTATAGATTTAAAGATAGCGTTTTTTTCTGGACACATACTGTTTCTGGCTTTCACCTGAAAAATATTTCCAGGAGTGGGATATGATTCTAAACAGGATTGCTAACTCGTGCCTTAAGAAAAGAACTCCTGTAGCAACTTCTGGCAACTTCTTCTGGCACACTCCTCAATGAAGGGAGAAGTTTCACATGTCCAAAGTCTTCCTTCCTTCGGATGACAGAGATAGGAGCATTAACCCTAAGTAGAGTAACAGCTTAATTAAATACGTGAAGAAGAATTTAATCTGACACAATTGATTATGGGGGTTCTTTTTTTCTTTTCTTACAGGCACAGTTTTCAGAGGTCAATTTGATAGCTCATGCTGATGGCAATTATGCTGTTGACATGCAGGCGTTCCGAAATGGCACTAAAGTTGTTAGGTAAGTTGTTCCCCACCCCCCTCCTCATAAAAACTGAAATTAACTTAAAGCAGTTGAAAACTACCATATTGCTAAAACCAACAATGTTCTTTGGAATTATTAAATTAGATCAGCATTTAGCCAGAGGCGAAACTAGGCTTTATTCCACCTGGGTCAAATGACCCTGTTTGCCCTCACCCACCCACATGCATTTGCTTACACACACACATAGGCTGGCAGCCTCAATAGCACCCCTCTGGAGGCTTCACCTGGGGCAATCAATCAATCAATCAATCAATCAATAAAGCAAGCAAGCAAGTAAGCCCCCCCCCCCCGGTAGCTATGACTGATTTAGCAAACTCTGTTTTTATCACTTTATAACTTGTAAAGCAAAAGAACAACTCTTAATAGCAATGAGACATAGCAACGAAATTAGCTTTGGACAAATTTATTTTTCAAATTATAAAAATATTTTCTGAAACTGTTTATTCCTTTGGTTAGGGTATTTGATTCATGTTGCTTGTTTCTTTAAAGGTGATTTAGTATTTGTGGAAGCATACCTCCAATACTATTCAAAACTTCCTGTCTTTGCAGAACTGATGATTCATTATAATAAAAGAAAACCTTCCAGTAGCACCTTAGAGACCAACTAAGTTTGTTATTGGTATGAGCTTTCGTGTGCATGCACACTTCTTCAGATACACTGAAACAGAAGTCACCAGACCCTTATATATACTACGGCAGACTAACACGGCTACCTACCTGTAACTACCATTAAAATAAAGTCATATATACTGTACTAAGAAGGGTTTATTAGGTGTTGCCCCTGTTCCTTTGAAATAAATAGGAGAGGGAAGGAACCCCACAAATAACAAATGGTGCTGTGATGCACCAGTGATTAATACTTACAAAGTGCTCATTGCAGGGAGTTGGACTAGAAGACTCTCGGGAACCCTTCCAACCCTACAGTCTTATGATTTTATGATTCACTGCTCCTGGAGGGATCCCCATACCAGACTATTATTCTTCCCATTATTCTTCCCTTTCCCGCTTGGAGCATACATATCATGATGCCAAGGTATTATTGGAAGGCAGTTAGTTCAGCTGGTTAAAGTGTGGTGCTGATAATGCCAAGGTTGTGGGTTCAGTTCCCATGTGGGCCAGCTGCCTATTCCTGCATTGCAGGGAGATGGTCCTCAGGGTTCCCTCCAGCTCTACAATTCTATGACATGTGAACAACACTCTGAATAGTGATTTCATTTCTGCTGCAATGGGACATGGGGAAGCGAGGGCTCTGGCATGACCTGTGTGAATCTTTCCTTGCACCAGGGTTATTTATGCCTGCAATACAGCTAGACCAAGCCCATAGTAATTCAAAAGGCTAGCAAATATTTCTGCTGATTAAATGTTATATTAAATTACTAAACTGTGCATGAGCTGTGAATATAATCAGGGAGGAACAATGTATTGGTTTATAAAGATATTGCAGAACATATCTAAAAAATGATGGGTGAAAAAGGTTTATTTATTTATTTATTTATTAAAATCTTATTTGAAATTCAGTTGCACTCCCAAGGATTTCTGCTTCAGAATTGATTCATATGTACTTCTGTGGTATAGCTGATGCTTCCATGTGATTGGAATCCCATACCGTAATTGCAATGTCTGAAATTAGGAAACAAATAGTGGTCATAGGGGATGCGGTTAACTGCCATTTTCTGGCATTGTCTTTTTCTAGGGGGCAGCAACAGTGCAGTATTTATGGCAGCTGCCCAACTCACCTGGTTTCTCATTCCAGATGTAACTACTCTGATGTGAATTTTTTTTGAGATCTAGGAAATAGAGTACAATAGAGTCGCTCTGCCCATGAATAACAAGAGGAAGAGGATCAGAGCCATAAGTTTCTTCCTGCACGCTGAGAAGTCTAATTGGGAAGCCCATTGCAAAGGATTGAAATGAAAGCAAGGCATGTCTCTCAACATCACTAATGTTAGAGAATCACTCTATATCATAATTCACTGATTCTCAGCCCACTTGTGCTGGGACCAGTAACTTGGCAGGAATGTTTGCTGACCTAATAAGAGGGGAAATGGCTCAGTAGCACTCAGATGCTCCAAAAAGCTACCATATTATAGGGCAGCCTGCCATCTTGTATCTCTAGCTCCTTGCTCTATCATTCAACCTCTTTTTATCTATTTGTTGTCTCCTGACATCCTATATTTTGTGCTCCTAATTCTCATACCTTATCACCTCAGTCCTGGCACTTATTTCCAACAATCCCAAGATGTTTTCTGCTTCTTTCTTAATAATTGTAGTTTATAGGTACAGAGTGCTTTACTAAATGCTGCCCTACAGGTGATTGCTCCAGTGTCCCAGGCAATAAAAATTATTCTGATTGTTCTTTTCTTTTCCTATAGGTGTTGGCTTTTCCCTTTAGTTATCTAAGTAATATGGTGTATTAGGAACAAATATCAAAGATACGGTTTTCAGTGAGCATGCAGTTGCTAGATCAGAGCTGCATCACTATAGATTATAAGAGATGTCACTTGGGTAGACCAGGTGTAGCTGGGGAATCTGGAGCTTCTTCACTTGGATGTGCACCCTAGTCTTAAGCATACTTAGTCAGAAGAAATGCCCATTGATTTCAGTGGGCTTACTTCCAAGTGAGCATGAATAGGACCACAGCTTTAGTAACACAAATCATTGAAAGAAGAACATTGGGTTTATGGGGAGGGGGGAATCCCCTGACTTTCAGTGCAAAACGTTTCATATGAAAAAATATAGTAACCTTTGTTCTCTTACATTCTCTTATGTTTGTATTACTTTCATTTATAAGAAAAGTAGCTTATGGAAGAAACGTTTAAATTATCTTATTCTCCTTAGATCATTCAGGCCCGACTTCGTTCTTGTTCGACAACACTCGTTCGGCATGGCAGAAAATGAAGACTTCCGTAACTTAATCATCGGGATGCATTATGCTGGCATCCCAAGCGTTAACTCCCTAGAGTCAATCTACAACTTCTGTGACAAGCCCTGGGTGGTAAGTTGACAGAAATTCCTGAGTTTGAAGACAACCGTCGCTTTGAATTGGAAGGTTGGGGAAAAGTAAGGAGCCGTTTTGTGTGATGCATGACAACTCTGGCCATCTAGATTTTTTTAAACATTGTTAATGCTATATTAGTCCAGTGGTGGGCTCATTAATTGCCCCAACAGCTATAATTTTAATTTCTCATGTGAAAATAGAAAACACTTTTACTGTATGCTGTTTCGTTCCTTGATTACATTTTTATTGTCTTTGCTCTAAAGAGCTCAAGGTGGTGTACATGTTCACATCTCCCTGCCCCCTGGCTAATTTTTATATATACAAAAAAAAATTGAGGTGGGTTGGATGAGTAGAGGTTTGAACTTGTGCCTGTCTAGTCTGAGTCCAACACTCAAATAACTACACCACATTTGCTCCAAGTGACAGTCTGTTTGTAGCCAAAATAGCACCATCAGTGCAGAAAAGAGAGTGATCAGAAGGTTTTGGGGGCACTCCAAGGTTTGCAGAAATACAAACATTTTAAGGAGGTACAAAAGCCTAAAGGGCATCCTCCTCCTCCACACACCACATAAAAAGCCATCCCGTTAAGGGCTACACATGCTCAGTGGCCACATAATGCTCAGTGGATGATGTGACTTGAGGTGGGGAGTGGGAGAACAGTAAACGGGAGAGACAGAGAATAGAATTGAATAGAACTGAGCATCTTGGAATGGGATATGGCTGTCTGAAACCCTGAATGGGAACACTCCACACTACATGTGTGCAGATCCCACTGGTAGATATTATCAATACAATTGTACCTGCTGTGCGTAGAGCCCTCATCTTTCTCAATTTTGTTACATCTTGCTACTGCTCTTCCTTGAGGTCTCTGTGTGTGCATGCTGTGGTGCCCATAGAATCACTTCTGCAATCAGAAAGTTAATGTGAGGTGATAAGCGTTTTAGGATGCCTTTGCCTTAAAGCAAGCTCTTTAAAAATGCTGGCATTAAGGACAAAACCAGTTATACTTGAATTCGGCATTTTTCTTCCTTAGGCTTCTCAGTCTTGACATTCCTGCTATTGTTTTAAAAGGTTGCTAGCATTTGGGACTAGCCATGCATGCCCTTATCATTTAAAACCAGGATGCTTTTATCTTTCTTCACCCAGCCCTTTGCATAAGAAACTGGCTTTATAGATTTACAACATAAAATTGAAGAGCTGGAACATGCCAGTCTGAATGAAAGCATAAATGTCTGAGTAGGATGGGTTTATGCTATAAAAATTTACTACCAGCTTGTCATTTATGAATAAACTTATCATTTATCACATTTTATGAAATCATGTTTTATTTAAAGGTAAAGGACCCCTGACAGTTAGGTCCTGTCATGAATGACTCTGAGGTTGCGGCGCTCATCTCGCTTTACTGGCTGAAGGAGCTGACGTTTGTCTGCAGACAGTTTTTCCGGGTCATGTGGCCAGCATGACTAAGCCGCTTCTGGCGAAACCAGAGCAGCACACTATCTACTTGCACTTTGACGTGCTTTCGAACTGCTAGGTTGGCAGGAGCAGGGACCGCTCACCCCGTCACAGGGATTCGAACCGCCAACCTTCTGATCGGCAAGCCCTAGGCTCAGTGGTTTAGACCACAGCGCCACCCACGTCCTAGTGATCTCTAAGCTTAACAGACCTCAAAGGGTTATTGCAAGGATAGGATGGTGATTGGGGGTGGAGACCACTTGGAGCTCCTGTGAGAAAAGGTGGGGTATAAATAAATAAATGCATTTTAAAGAGCCAAAATCTTTTGCTAAAACGTGACAAAAAATATTAGAACTCCCGCATGCCGTATCTCTAAAAAGGATCTACCCAGCCATTCAATAAAACATGATTTCATAAAATGTGATAAATGATAAGTTTATTCATAATTGACAGCTTAGAGATAGTGATTAGCCCATTATGAGCTTCATACATGAGTAAAGATTTCAACCTGGGTCTCCTTTTTGATAGGGATCTTTGCTTTCTGTCTGGGTTTTTTTTTGGGGGGAGGGGGCGCGTTCCAAGCATCAACAATTTTTCTTCTGTGAAATGGATATTTTCTGGTACCCACAGCAACATTGAATGTAAAAATGACAAGTGATCTGTCAACTCCAAAATACCCTAGAACAGTTATGGGGAATATGTGGTCCTACAGATGCTATGCTCTAACTTCCATCACCCCTGAGCATTAGCTATACCCGTTGAGGCCTATGGGAGATGGAGTCCAATATCTGGAGGGCCACATGTTTCCACCCTGGCCCTAGGCAATAAATAATGCATATTCTTAATCCATGGATAACACTCTCACCAGACCCTGGGATAAGGAATAGAACATACCAAGCTGCATTAACAGAACTGAGAGAACATATACAATAATTTCAGTAATCTCCATACAATCTATATTTTTTAAAAAAGGAAAGCAGCACCTTTCAGATCAATAGAACTTCAGTCAACACAAAACTTACAGAATGCAAAAAAAAGGGGGGGGGGGAGGAGGATTAGTTTGGCAGTAAGCTCATTTGTTCAAAAGCCGTAAGAGCTGGCTAAGTATCCCACCAAGATAATGACTGAGAAGGGGTTCACATATAACCTTTCATCCCATAGAGCATCAAAGTATGTAAAAGAGTAACCAAAATGATCAGGGAGCTGGAGCCACGCCTCTACATGAAAAGGCTAAAATGTTGGCAACTGTTTTATTGGGAGCCAGGGGGAAGCAACTAAGGAAGAACATGCTAAACATATATAATGATATTATTCATGGTACGGAGAAGGTGGATAGAGAGAAATTATATGATTGTTGTCTGCCTCTTCCAGGACCAGAGGCAGTCCTCCCATAAGGGATTCCCAAGTTCATTCTGCACTCTCCTTTTGTACTTGGAAGGAGTTTCCCACTAGTACAGTTTCCCACTCAGATTGAAGCTACAACTGCAGTTCTACTATTTGCTCTCTCTTCCTCCCTCCTGTAGCAGCCTGAGAGAGACTCCATTGGAAAGTTCTGGGCTCATTTTTGTGTGTGGAAGCAAGACATGAGGCCATTTCCCATTTAGGTGTAATTACTTAAATGCTGTATATTAGGGAGAGAAATGTCCTATTCTGTTTCATGGCACA